GACACGAGGATGATGATGTGGGAACAACCCTGACACGAGGATGATGATGTGGGAACAACCCTGACACGAGGATGCCAGATCGTGCTGTATTCGAGGTCCTGGTGCCCTCCTGTCAGCTCAGAAATCGGTTTCTGACACACTCAGACCAACAACCATGTTCAGAGTCACTCAGGTCGCCTTTCTCCATCATTCTGAACTTCAACAGGTCGTCTCAGTGAGTCACTGCTATGTGATTGGCTGATATTTGTGTTGGCGTACAGCTGAACAAGTGTACCTAATAAAGTGTCCGGTGAGTCTGACAGTCTGTGTAAAACCTTTAAAGGGCGATCGTGGCTCAAGAGTTGGGAGTTTGTCGTGTAATCGGACGGTTGCCGGTTCGAGCCCCGGCTTGGACAGTCTCGGTCGTTGTGTCCTTGAGCAAGACACTTCACCCGTTGCCTGCTGGTGGTGGTCAGAGGGCCCGGTGGCGCCAGTGTCCGGCAGCCTCGCCTCTGTCAGTGCGCCCCAGGGTGGCTGTGGCTACAATGTAGCTGCCATCACCAGTGTGTGAATGTGTGTGTGACTGGGTGGATGACTGGTTGTGTAAAGTGCTTTGGGGTCCTTAGGACCAAGTAAAGCGATGTACAAATACAGACCATTTACCATTTAACGCCGTCTCAGAACAGACCTGCAGGAGTGAAGCTCACCTCCTTCATTATTTCTGAACACGGTGGTTTGTATGCAGTTTCCTATGTGTACTCCAACACGTGTACTCCAACACGTGTACTGTCAACAGTCTGAAACGTGTTCCTCTGAGACCACGACGCTGGAGGATTTGGTAATATTCTAATATTCTTTGAACTAAAACAAAAACACACATCGGCTGCTGAACGATTACTCAGACCCAACAGCTGTTTGACCCAGAACAACCATGTTTACAGCTTTCTGCCACATTTGGCCTGGTTGGTTCAGGCTGTGCCGTCACATCAGGAGCAACTCCTGCTTATGTGAGCTAAATATCAGAGTTTCTGTGGCAACAGAGCAGGGCTCTGGAGTGCCACCAGTTTTTTAATGGTGCAACTAAAAAGAAAAAAAAAAGGTCTCTGCAACTCTGAACGTCTCCGTGTGGTCAGACACACATCATGCCCCTATCGTGGTCTAAACCAATCAGAGATAGTCAGGGGCGGGACCTCTCTGATATAGATATCCGATATCGAGTCATTAAGTCCTGAATGGACTTTTAAATATAAACGTATTTTGCCAGAAACGTCAGAATCTCAGGTTAAGGCTCAGAAACTATTTCAACAACCACCAAACAGTAAATGAGAGCAATAAATGCCCAAGTGCCCCCCCCCCCACTGCCTTTCAGCAGCAGGCAGGTCGTCAGAGGAGCCGATGTGACGAATACGTTTAACGTTGCCTGCAGCATTACCAAAGAGAGCCACGCACTTTAAGGACAAGCATAAGATTATTAGGTAATCATTTGCAAATGAATATTGTCTGTGACATCAGTTTCCCCTTTAAAAGTGCACATGTAAAACTGCAGCATTAGGCGATGCGGTTGAAAGCTTTGGGTGCGCCTAACTTTTGTGCTGATGCGCCTAAGAAAAACATTTAGTGGCAAAAAGTTAGTGTAGAGCCACAGAGCCAATCAGAGCCACAGCCTGCACACATGCCCACACAGCGTTTACCTGAGCTGAAGCTGCCAGAACCAAATGATCTATCTATCTATTGTCTGAAAATAAAAACTCATTCTGAAAACCGTCGGCCGTGAACGCGGCGCATCGCTTTCTTCTCTTTTGCTTGTTTAAACAAGCAGATGCAAAAACATGTGATGCACGTCCTCAAACCGCTGCTCGCCTCTAATGCAAAGGAAGCACATATTAAAATGAATTTCCCTTTTGCCAGATCTCCCTGCTCATCGCCTTCCTGTGTGTGTTCTGCACTCGCGGCTGGCCCAGCTGGCCGGCCTTCCAGTACTTCGAGGTGGTGACGCTGTGGTTCCTCGTAGCCTTCCTCATCTTCTTCCTCATGCACCTGTGCAGGCTGCAGACGAGGATGCCCTGCATCAACTGGCCGCTGACGGTAAGAGGAGCGACGCTTCCATCCGTCTGTGTCGGTCTCGCTTCTGCATTTCAGCCAAACTTCTGCATCGAAGACTTGAGCGTTTGATTCTCAGCGTAGCGTAACAGGAAGCTGCTGTTGTGCAACGCAGAGAAGCCAGAAGAACCCAAATGTTCCTCTGGCTTCTCTGTGGAGTTCAAGGAAGGAAGAGAGCTTCTGATGTGCGGATGCTTGCAGTGCACCAGCAGTCCCTCGTTTACCTTCCTGACCAGTCGGCCGTGAGCAGAGGTGATTTTCAGAGCAAATCTCAGACTTTGGATCAAAATGAAACAAATCAGCTGCTGCAAATTGTTCCTTAACCTTTTGAGAGCTTTGTGACCTTGAAAAGGTTCATGAGCACCAAACGTGCTGGGAGATCTCAGCCTGAGACGAAACATCACCCTGCAGCTGTTAGTCGCTCGGCTCAGATTTATGCTTCCACACATGGCGAGACTTCCTCTTCCTGTTCTGTTGAATCCAGAGAAATGTTAAACATTGTGAGATGATTGCTGATCTTCATGTGGACGCTGCACATACATGCAGTCTGCTCAGCTGTAAGCAGTACTAATAAAGCTCCACAGCAGAGCACCTGCCTCCATGTCACCCGACCCCCAGCATCCTCTGCACATCTGTACGCACATCTGTTCAGCAGCGGTCAGGCCCTTGCTCTTATTTTGAAAGTCCAGCAGCTGCGGTGCAGGTCTGGTTCCTGTGCTGAACTCTCAGCGAGCTCATCCGACTGCAGGATGAGAGACGTGCTGGAAATTAAAAGCACTTCCTGTCCAGCGGTATTTATTAATGAATCTATGAAAACTCGTGCGAGGGAAACGGGACTTGAAGCTCCGGCAGAGTGAATGTTTGCATCCTGGTTTCAGAAGCAGACCCGACTTTGAAGCCTTCACTAAAGCGGAGCTCTGAGGAAGGCTCGGAGCTCCTCTGTGGTGGACACGAGGTGCTGACAGATGCTGAGAAATGTTTATTGTTCCTCTGCTGTTTCAGGAGTTCTTCCATTACTCTGTGGGATGCATCCTCATCCTCATCGCCTCCATCATCGCCTCGGCGAATAGCCGTGGAGTTTCAGCGCTGGTGGCCGGATCGGTACGTAAGCGCACAACTGCGAGACTCGCGTTGTGTCACTTTGCAGCAGACCAGCTGTGTGTGGCTCCTGCAGACCGAGTCCTCCCTCTGATCACGCAGGACGTCACATTAAGTTCTTTCCTGAGAACAGAAATCTGGTCCTGCCTGAACTTCTCTGAGCTGAGTGCGATCCGTCAGTAGACTTGAGCAGCTTTACTTTGAAAGGTGTTTATAACGCATTGTGTGTTCGTTCACAGGTGTTTGGATTCATAGCGACGTTCCTGATGGCCGTGAACTTGTGGACGTCTTACAGCGTGGCTTGTGGGCCTCAGTCTGGTAGGTGCTGTCCTTCACCTGCTTCTGGTCTGAGCCTGTTACCTGCTCACGTGGTTTTGGGTTAAACGTCTCCAGCGCTGGGCGAGGGTGTCGTCCTTTTAACGTGCTGCAGAATCAAACCTTCATGGCCTCATCTGCTTTTTATGAGCACGTTTCAAGTGAAGCATGTTGTTAAATTGCAGTGCATTCAGGGACTAGTAAGCGTTTTGTGCTCAAAGTCGATGTTAGAGGCAGGAAATCGGACGAGCGTGAGGATTTGTGACAGTTTGGCTCAGAGCAGCTGCGACACTGCAGCTCCTGCGGGGCTCCAAGGAAGGAGCAGGGGTCACGGGGTCACGGGCCACCTCAGTCACACGAGCATCAGTGCGAGGTGCTGCACAAACGGTCCAATCCGCAGAGGCTCCACCCACAGCACAGCCTCGATGGGTGCAGCCAAAGGGGGGCCGACACAACATTAGCCACACGGTCATTATGTTACACCTGACTGGTGCATATTTGTCCACAGTTGGACTGAAGGGGGCTGCGTACCACATTTAAAACATTGTTATCGTATAAATAATGCAAGCGTGCACCTCCCTGCTCGAGCTGAGTTCCCTGTGATAAGAGGAGGGTTTCCCTGAGGAATGCTAACGATGCTAACGATGCTAATCAGTTAAAAGTGCTTTTTTTTTCCAAACAGTGAGCCAACTGTTTTCTTCGAGCCACATCCAAAGATATGAGGCCGATCCACATGACAGCAATTACTTCCACTGCCCTGAGACTCTAACACTCTCTCCCCGCATGTTTCTCCCATCATGCTTTTCTGCAGCCATGTAAAAAGCGTCCCGTCATGATGGAGTCAGATGGCTGTGTTGGCAGTTTGCTGTGTCCTGGTTCTTCTCTGCCAAGCGACCACCTGGATAAATCGATGTGATCATAACTCTTACTGCAGAGGAGCGCCGACGCAGCACCGGCTGGACGGGACAGCAGTCAGTGTCATTCTTTTACTTCCTCGTTAAATCGGACCGCTGTGGTCACGTTTCCATGGTAACGGTGCTCTGGGTCACATTTGAACCATCGGTAATCCTCATTAATGAACGACAGCACAGTCACCTGGAATTGTCACCTTTATTACATTTCCCATCATTCCTGTTGTTTTCTTTCTTTGTCCTTAAGAATGAGGCGTGGGCTCTAAAGCGATGGCGCCCTCGCACTGCTGTGTGCCATAAATGAGCGTGTCTTCACGGTTTACAGCGCCCATCCGTCTGCTCCTTTGAAACTTCCTCGAGCTCTGCAGAAGCAGTTTGGACCACAGATGCATTAAAATTACAGCAGTTCTACTTTAAAATATTAGTGTTGAAATATTTTTATCACTCAAACACGAGTTGCATGCTAATGTTGTTGTTAGCATGCTAAAAATTTACTCAGGGGCTGTAAAACAGCAGCATGCTAACAAATGAAACAGGTAAAACGTCGGCATGCCAACAAAGCAAAAGAACAAAACATCGTCATTTTTGGCGAGTAAAGACACGTGGCAGAAATCGTTATTTCTTTGATTGTCAGGAAGCCCGTGGGCGGAGTCTAACCTGCTGGAGGTTCAGTTTGTTTTAGCCAGCTGGGTCATTTTTAAAGATTCAAGGAAACTGAAGACGCTGCATGTAAACAGGTTGCAAGTTTTAATGATTGAAAAAATCTCACATTGATTATGTGGGTCAGTAATGATGTCATCATTCATTTATATTACAAAACAAGCTGCAGATAAATATAAGAACCAGTTTGACTCATGGACACGCCCACTTACATTAAAGACAAATGTCTCCAGCTGTTCTGCTTGAGATGCTCGAAAACCCAACAAATACATCAGAAAACACGCGGTTCAGTTTGTGTCGCGTTAAATCAGACCACAGCTGGGAGCCGTGTGTCCCGTAGACACATGTACAGGAGATAAACCTGAATGTTTTTGTGTGTCGGGAGGTGTTCTGTGGGAAGCTCCAGTGTTTGATGTCTGCTTGTGGGATTTACTGACAATAAGAGAAATAAAGGCCAAAGCACAGCGTCTGTGTTATGGAGGAAGAACATGTAATATGTCACTGACGTGGATTCAATCTGTAACTGAACAGTTTAGAGACGTTTCAGCAGGAACTGCAGATTATTGTAATTACTCTTTTTGTTCAGCTGTCCTCGGTGCTTAAAAGAACCAAACTTTTAGCCATTTGAATTTAAAATTCAGTCTGAATTTTGTATTTAAAAAGCACATCTGTGATTATTTTAGAGGATGCCAAAAGAGAGCGATGTATAAATTATATCAGGATTAAAAATGAACTGTGTGGAAATCTGTGCAGATTAATAAATGTAATGACATGGATTCATTCAGATTATCCAAATATTCACGTGATTAATGATCAATGATACTTCGTTCAGACGCGCTGAGATGGATTCAAATGAGCCAAAGAGATTAAAAGTGTGTATCTACAGACAGAAGAAGACATATTGTAGTAAATATTAAACATCATCCATTTAAAAGTGTTTGGATTTATAATTATATGTTGGAAGCTACATTTTTGGAGAATGTGTGTTTTCCAAAAGAAGTCATTGCAACGCCACATCAGTGAAAGCACAGACGAGCTAACCATGAAAAGATGCTGTAAATATTCAATGTGCTGCACTGTTAGCCGTTTTACAATCGTCCAACTGTTTAAGCACAATCTCTGCGTACCTCTCCCAGCCCGTTCGTTCTGATCATAGTTATTTAATCTGTGCTTTCACTCAGTGACAGAAAACTTTTATTAATCTGCACACGGTGACATCCACTCCCGCTAACTGCTAGCTCCGACCGCACGCAGCATCTCTGGGCTGTCAGCTCTGCAAACATCTCTGATTGACTCAACGCTCAGTTTAACTTACGTGGAAAATGAAGTCACACCTCTGAACCTAAAAACTTTAACGTGAACAATCGTTACGAATCGAGACAGAGACGCCAAATGTGGCAGGTAGCCAACGTTAGCCGAGACGTTAGCTTACAGCTAAGTGATTATTAAAACAAATTGAAGAGACAGAATTAAGAGTTTGTTGAAAGTGGTTAAACCATGCTTATGTTTTCTGTTGACTGTGCATTACTGATACATAGTTAACATTTTATTAAATGGAATTTAATGAAGAGGTTAATATAGCAGCACTAGCTAACAAGCGTGACCTAGCATGACTATTGTTGATGCCACGCCCATTTTTTTTCGGCTGCACTGCCGATCTGATTGGACAGGAGGGGAGTTCATGCTAACATGTCAGTGTTCACATGACAGCTGCTGCTTGTCTTATTGGTCTTTAATAACAAAGTGCCATTTATTGTTTGATTGTTTTTAGCGATTAATCCCAGTTTACAGGTGTGCAGATAAACTGCTGTGAACGTCTTGGAGGAAAAACACATTTCCAGTTTTTCTGCTGCGTGTTCTTCGTAGAACCCAAACTGGTTTCGCTTTAATTCTTAGAATAAAAAGGCTCAAAGTTAGACCCTTTTCTGCCACCTGTCGTTAACAAACGAGTAAAACCATTCGGTGTGTAACGATAATCCTGAGATTACTGCCTTACTGTGCGATGCTTCTGACTGTGCACTGAATGTGTCTGAAATTTCCTCTGAAGTAGCTCAGAGCACCAAATGAAGGCCTGACCTCTAATTGGATTCAAACTGAATGTTAAACTGTGGAAGGTTTACACAGTACTTTGTAGTACATTTAAATACCCGTTAGTGTCTGATCCTGGAGCCTCTACACACTGTGTGACATCGTAACGGGTTCCTGCTCGACTGGTCTGTGGGAACCGTCAGGATGTTCTAGTTGGTGTAGGAACTTGATGAAAGCATGTGAGCTTTTTGTACGAATGCTTTCAGCTTCAGACAACTTCATAAACTAACTTTAAAAAGCATAATTAGGTTGTGGTGGCTTAGCGGTGCAGCGGTTGGAGCTTCATGTTCTCCCTGTCTGGGTTTCCTCTCACAGTCCAAAGACGTAGGTGGGGTGACCTGTCCAGGATACAAGCCCCGCCCACAGGGTTTCAGTAGTAAAACGTGCCACTGACTGAGACACTGAATAAGAGCGGTCACTCAGCTCTTCGTTATCTGAAGCTGGTCATGAAGTCATGTGACCCTGCAGGTAGAGACTGCGAGTTCCTCATACAGTGTAACGCGGTCTGATCTGACCTGCAGGCCCGGCCTCAGCGGACACGATGGCGTCGCTTGCAGCTGCTGAGAGTCACGGTCCTGTTTGATAGGCTGCAGGGACTGACTTCACAACAGTGACATCACATCCTGCCTGCTCCCAGTGAGTCCGGTACGTCAGGGCCTGAACCCCTGAGGGTCGCACAGTGTGGAGGGGTTCCCGTCCCATTAACGTCACGTATCTCATAAGCTTTATTTCATGCTGTGATGCTGTTCGTAATGGTGCACCATGCTCACTTGCTGTGCTCGCTGCCTCTTTGGTTTCCTGTCTGCACCAGCTTCATTTGTAAGAGTCTGGTTTCTTATGCACTGATAAGCTTACTGCAGCAGGCCGTTACATCATCGTGTTAAATCACAACACGTGAAAAGATTTACATTTGAGTTTTGTATGTATTTACTATTTCTATGGTTGAATTTTACTATGCTGTTTTTCCAGTTTGGGATAAAATTCAAACTTTTCTTGTTTCTGTTTCCTTGGACTTATTTTTTTTACCCTAAAGCTGGGCTTTAATTTTCCGTCTGGATGTTTTGCGTGAATCCAAAACGAAGGTGTTTGTCAGTCAGAGTGGGACAGCGATGTGGTTTTCCTGAAGGCTATTTGAAGGCGTTGCTGTGAGCGTTTACAGTTATTTCCATGCCTCGAGTACTCTGATGGATCCGGGCTCCACCATAGACAAACCACACTGTTTACATTATTTATTTTGGCTCCAGCTTGATGATGATATTCTCACTGATGCAAAGTGACCTGATGTATGGCTGCGTGTCCACTGGAGGACAGAAACATTCATTAGACTGGCTATGAATCTGGACCGCTGATAATACATTACTGCTCATTACATTTTTCACTGTCGGAGGGAAACGACTCGGTCTCCAGGTGAGATTTGTTTGTACAAATGTTCCAGTTTAGTGGAAAGCAGCCAAAGCTCGTATGCAATTGGGCAAGACTTGGAAGTCTTCTAGTTGTACAAGTCTTGACCCTGTTTTCTACACATGCCACAGATTCATTTACAGCAGCACCAGGCTCAGGGAGGGGCGGGGCCAATCACTGTGATTGGTTGGGGAGAGAGAAGGAAGACAGGATAAAGACATGCTGTGGAAGAGAGACAGAGGTTAATAACAGAAATGATTCGATGCAGAGAGTCTGTGAACACATAGTGAGTGAGAAACGTGACTTTCTTTAATCTCGAGTCTGTTTGTTTCATTTGAGACCAACAAAGCTTCACACATGGAAACATTTTACTCAACAACAACTTTTAGTCTCAGGTCTATTTTTTCATTTTTAATGCCACTGATTGTGTTTCTACTACAGACTAAAGTCCTGCATACATTTGGTCGATTATTCAGCTCATATTAAATCTTTTTGTTTGAGCTGAACCCCGTCACTGCTGTTTCCTGTGATGACACACGGGGCGGCGCCAGGAAAAGCTGTAACAGCAGGTCGTGGAGCAGCCGTCCTAACAGCTGTTTCAAAGGTTTTCTTTCTCCAACGTTAAATTCTGATTGGATGTTTGCTTCTTAAAGTTCCCGAATCTGTGAATCGAATGTTTGAGATCGAGACTAGGATAAATGTATACACATGAGAGCGAGGAGCCCAGTGGACACGGTCACCTGGTAGTTCATTTAGTGTTTTCTCCAAAGTGCCTTAATGTTCTGTGGGTGTGGATTGGTCACTTGACTTCTGTGAGGAGCCACGATCAGGCTGGACTTGTGATTTTATTATATTACAATAAAAGATGTGTACAGTGTTTGAGTGACATCACAAACACGAGTTGTTTTTCTACATTTTTAAAATGTGTTCAAACTACAAGTTGTGATTTATTGCATGTTGTGAATTAAAGGCTCATTGCACCAGTTCTGTCTCTGCTAGTTTCATAGAACACGAGGAACAAACACATGAAAAATGGAAACAAAGTATTATTAAAGTTAACAAAATGATGCATTTATCTGTTTAGTAACGTCTTTGTGTAAAACAGTCATCAGTGTGTGTAGAGGTTTAGCATTTTGCTGTGGGTGGAAAAATCTGTGTGTAAAATAAATGCTTTCAGTTTTCGCTAATCTGATGTTTGAGGCACATTTTGAAAACACATGAAAGCGTTAGCGGCATGTAGAGAACCGTGTGGATTATTAGCAAACATTAGAAAGATAAAGAGTCCTAAAAGTGGTCCCTGTGGAACACCCACAGCACTGTATCCATCCATTCGCTTCCGTTTATCCTTTTCAGGGTCGCGGGGGGCGCTGGAGCCTATCCCAGCTGTCATAGGTCGCCAGTCTGTCGCAGGGCCAACACACAGGGACAGACAACCATTCGTGCTCACTTTCATTCACACATTCACACCTAGTGACAATTTGGATTATCCAATCAACCTGTCCCCACAAGCTGGATGTCTTTGGACACTTTATCCAATCCAACTTTATTTATAAAGCACTTTAACACAGCCAGCACAGGACCAAAGTGCTGTACAGCAGATGTGTTAAGAAAAAAAATAACATTTCAAACAGCCCTGTATTAAAAAACAACATAGAACCAACTAAAAACAGTTTGGGAGCTGCTACAGCAAAAGCACGACCTCCTCTAAGTTTACGCCCAGTCCGGGGTACATGCAGGAGCAGCTGATCAGCTGGCCTGAGAGAGCGGGTGGGTGTATGAGGCTGTAGCAGCTCAGAGAGATGAGATGGGGCGAGGCCGTGGAGAGCTTTAAAAGCAAATAAAAGAATTTAAAAATGAACCCTAAAAGTATTGGCAGCCAGTGAAGTGAAGCTGAAACGGGAAATGTGCTCAAACTGTCGAGTGCCAGTTAAAAGACGAGCTGCGGCATTTTGCCTCCTCTGTAGACGAGTAATATATGATGCGCTGACCCCAGGATAGAGTGCATTACAGTAATGCAGCCGAGTACTAACAAAGGCGTGGATAGCTGTGAAAAACCTGCTTTAGCCAGCTGCCTCAATCTGACTGCCAAACGTCAGATCACAGTCACTTTGACCCCCAGGTTTGTGACAGCTGGTTTAACATGCTGGGCAAAGGAATCTAAATATTGGGGGTCTCAGTGGGGCTACCAAAAACCATCACCTCGGTCTTTTTGTCATTCAATTTTAAAAAGTTAAGAGACATGCAAGCCTTAATTTCAAGACACTGAAGTAGTGGCTGTGTGGAGTATGTGTTCAGTCATCAGCATAAAAGGGGAATACAATGCAACTGAGTTAACTCAGTACAGAACCAAGAGGGGGCCGAGAACTGAGCCCTGTGGGACACCACACCACAGAGGACAGCACGGCACAAAAAGTTCACCCTGCCAAGCAGGACCTGAACCACTCCAGGGCCCCTCGTGCTCCAAACCAGAGAGTAATATGGCGTGATGCACTGTATCAAGCCAGCTGTCAAATCTAAAAGCACCAGAACAACACAGTCCCGAGCGTCAGGAGCTAAAAATATGTCCTTAAAACTTTGAACAGGGCTGATTCAGTGAAAGGGTTTAAAATCTGACTGGAAAACATCTAAAACATTTTGCTTTCCCAGGAAGGCCATTCATTAGCTGTGAGCTCTTTTCAAGACATTTGGAAAGAAAAGGTAGTTTGGAGATAGACCTGTAATTTACAAGAGTCATAGGATCAAGAGCAGGTTTTTTAATCAGGGGTTTGACTACAGCATGTTTAACATCTTTAGGGACAACACCTGACATCAAACTGTGGTTTGCTCAAAAAGCAAAGGTCCAACTGCAGTTAACACGTGTTTTAAGAGTCGAGGAAGGGCAGCATCGTTTGGAGACCCTGCAGGCTTAAAACGACCAACAGTCTCCTTTAAAGCGGACAGTCACTGGCTCAAAGGAAGCAGAGACTGAGAGGTCATGAGCAGAAAGATCTGAGCCCTGGTGGAGGAGACCTTCTCAATAAAACAGCGTACAAACCGCTCACAGGCTGCAGACGAGGCCTCGATACAGTCGGAGCAGAGTTAATGGTCTTAAATAAAACACGTGTTGTGACAGTTTGACGGAATAATGTCAGATACGTGTTTTTTACAGTTGTGTTTAAAGTAGACTGATGCTCAGTCTACACAGGTAAACCTGAAGTCTGCTTTGGATTATTCTCTTTAACAACCAGTTGGCAACATTCTAGTTTTGTGTTTTGAAGGTTTGAGTACTTGCAGCCACCACGAGTACATGAAAAAGGACTCGAGGTCTTTTTAAACCTGTATTTCCATCCTGTGCGAGCGCAGCCGACAAACAGACATCATGAAAACAATTCAACACAAAAGCACCCAGTTCTGAGTTAAACTGTTTTCTATGTGAAAACTGTCGTTTCAGCTGCGTGGAGGACATTACAGCCATGCGCTGAGTCGCCTTAGACAACAATGATGCTAAGCTTAGCAAAACAGTTTGCTAGTGTAGCTGCTGACACTAGTCTCATTTCAGTTTGATGGTACAAACGTATCAGGAGTGACATCATTGATATTTACTAGATACAGAACACAGTGAGCCTACACTGTTCACTGCATCACTCCATGCTTGCACTGAGCACCACCTGCTATCACGTATATATCTACTGAGCACTTTTCATTTTTGCTTTCTTTCAGCGTTGTCTGACAGTGTGTTTTGCACTAAGCAGCAATTTGCTAATGTTGTAAAGCTGCTAAACATTTGGAAATAAAACCCATTCTGATTCTGCACAAAGAAAGCTCAGTGGTGGAATCAAATATGACATTTCAGTCAAAATTCAAGGTATTTGTTTCTATTTCATATCATTTATGAGCCCTGTGTGAAAGCTTTAGTTACATTTAAGGGCAATATCCCAAAAATAAAGTCAGAGGTTTGATCCGTGTGTGTTTCAGATGAAATGAAGACAAACTGATGCAGTAAATCTTCTCTTATTGATGACAAAACTGTGCAGCATAATTTACTTCAGATGTTGCAGATGTGAGAGCATAAGCAGGCTGATGTTTGGAGGCTCTAACAGCAGAGAGATGATACAGAAACATCTTTAGAAAATACTGACACACTTTATGAAGGGACAACTTTGTGTCTAAATGAGCTGCACACTTTCCCCACTGAAACCAGCACAATCCCACTGATGAAAACAACATTTGAACTACATATATTCTGGATAAATCAAAGCATTATCAAAGTTGTCTGTGGTTCCCTTATTTTTCCTTGGTTCCCTGTCAGATCCTGCAGGACGAACAGCAGTGAGTGGTTCCTGTATGCAGCTGTTACAGGTTGTGTTGGAGATGCTTCTGCAGATACAGGAAGCAAATATAAAAGTGTTTTCAGTGTTTTTAGCAGTCCCTCAACTACAGAGAGCTGTCTGCTCTCCTCTGCATCTCTCAGCTGCTGCTGGCTCCTCTTCCTCCTCCTCCTCCTCCTCACACTGTCCTGGATCTGTCCTGGTGTCTCATCAGGGGTGGAGAGCCTCCGTCTCCTCTCACCTTCTCAGGCTCTTCTGACTCTGGACACTTGCAGAAGGAAATCAACCACAGCAGTCAGCAACAAAAGCAGCAGAAGTTTATCAAATCTGTGTGAACTTGCAGGATGAAAACACCGTTTCCTCTTATCGTCACAAAGACACACTTTATGTGTTTGAATCAGAGAGAAACAGGATCCTGCAGAGTGTTGGTCTTTATAACAAAGGTGACAGACTCGGGTTGTTTGATATAAGCCTGACAACAACAGCAGGAAACAGCAGGAGGACTTCTCCATCTACTGTCTGTCTCATTGTTAGCGCTTTAAACAGGATGAGAGCTCTTTAAGGACAAACTGCAGCACAGCATGCTTGAGTCTGCGTCCTCACCGCAGTTCGCGGGCCACATATTTGCTCAACCGTCTGCTCGGTGTTTCCTGAACCGTTTAAGTACGTTTGGCTTCACGGCGACAAACAGACGGAGCTTCGGCAGAAACCTGAACGAACTAACGGAGAAAGAGCGCGTTAAACGCGACCTCTCTAACGTCACGTAACTTAGCCGAAGGGTCGCTAAATGCGACTCTAAGACTTCTCATTATGCTAACATTTGTTCCGCGGTATATTTGCAGTGGGACAAAAGCCCAGCGCTCACTTTGAAGACGGTATTTCTGCGCTTCACTTCGGCCGTCCGCCATTTTTCTTCAACCGCTGACTCGCAGTGAATCCTGGGATATGGTGAGGGCGCGGCTTCTATCCGTGCGCTCGTGCGTTCTGTGTGGCGTCACTGGCAGATCAAAGGAATCAGCTTCTGCTTTGATCGTCACAGCCACGTCACAGGCACGGAAAGCTTTAAATAGGAGCGCTCACACAGAAACATCACTGCTCATCTGTTTGCAAATGTTCAACAGTCGGC